GCTGTCAGGCTTTCTTTCTCCTGGGGACAAGGGTGTTCATGTCCCCACACTAGGAGGGGCAGCTGGAGACGTAAACCCAGGAATGGGATCATAAAACAAAGCGCCCGACACGTTACCTAAATATCCCTTTGTTTTACTTCTGTCAATACCACTGACCTAGTGACAGATGGATTTCGACTGGCTTTTTCTTCTGCTTTCTGTATTCTGCCCTCCCTGGATAATATAAAAAGAGGCTTGGCCATGGAAGACTGGCACTGCAGTGTGGTGGATAGGTCCTTCGAGCATGCCCTCCGCAGTCCGGGCTAGCCTGATAAACAAGACTTCACATCATTCTAATTGGACATTTTTATAAAAACTCATTTTATGGGGGGCTCATACAGCTTTTACCACAATCCATACATACATCTATTGTGTCAAGCACATTTGTACATTTGTTGCCCTCATCCTCAAAACATTTGCTTTCTACTTGAGCTCTTGGGATCAGCTCATTTCCCACCCTCCCTCATGAATCCTTGATAAAGTATAATATTTTATTTTTTCATGTCTTACACTAACTGATGTCTCCCTTCACCCATTTTTCTGTTGTCTGTCTTGTCCCCCTGGGAAGGAGTTATGTAGATCGTTGTGATCGGTTTCCCCTTTATCCCTCCACCTTCCCCTTACCCTCCTGATATGGCTACTCTCAATATTGGTCCTGAGGGGTTTATCTGTCCTGGATTCCCTATGTTTTCATTTCTTATCTGTACTAGTGTACATGAGCTGGTCTATGGATTTGTAAGATAGAATTAGGGTCACAATAGTGGGGGGGGCATTAAAGAACTAGAGGAAAGTTGTATGTTTCATCGGTGCTATGCTGCACCCCCACTGGCTGGTCTCTTCCTTGTGACCCTTCTGTGAGGGGATGCCCAATTGTCTACAGATGGGCTTGTATCTCTACTCTGTGCTCCCCCTCATTCACATTGATATGATTTTTTGTTCTGGGTCTTTGATGCCTGATACCTGATCCCATTGACACCTCATGAGCACACAGGCTGGTGTGCTTCTTCCATGTGGGCTTTGTTGCTTCTGAGCTAGATGGCTGCTTGTTTATCTTCAAGCCTTTAAGACCCCAGATGCTATATCTTTTGATAGCCGGGCACCATCAGTTCTAATTGGACATTATAGTATGTGGGAAACAGAAGGATTTCTCCCAAGTGGTCTCCCCCAAATAGATGCCAAACTTAGCTGCTTGCAAATGACATACACTTGGAGGTCATCAGGAGTAGGTCAGGGTCATTCTCCCTAAGGGTTATCAGCCATCTAGAGCAAGCAGCCACCACTGTCTATCCCACAACAAGTAGGGCGCACTCCCTTCTGATAAGGATAGTAGTTGTCTGTTTCCTTGTAGGAGACCCTAGAGAGGTCAAGCCCCCCCCAAGGGTGACCAAGGTTAGGCCGCCATCATGAGTCTAGGGTCCGCCCTTCTTGTCACATGTATACCCCTAGCTTATCCCCTTCCTGTCACACTTATGCCCATTGTACATCCGCTTCCTATAATGTGTATGCCTATTGTACTGCCCCTTCCTGTGACGTGTGGTTACCTGTAATCACGTCCCCCAAAGTAGGATATAACCCTTGGGTAGCAATAAAGTGGGGGGCTCTCCTGCTCTCACTCCCGGGCTCTCCCCACGAGGACCACCAAGCGGGGCTGAGGTGAGCATGCTACCATGAATTGTGTCTGACTCCGTTACTTCAATCTCTCTCCTATCTCTCATGCTCTCTATGACTTTAATATAATATTTATGTATCTCAACTGTACAATTGTGCCTATCAAACCCGTGATGAGTGGGGTGGGGGGGCTGGCACCCCTTCCAACCACAATAGTGGTCTTCTTTAACTTGAACCCCCAACAAATCGATGCCTTGGATTTTGGCATCGGTGGTGAATATTGAACCGACCATGGCCTGCCAGAGAACAGGCAAATCTGTCCAGGAAGGAGGACAGCTTTGTCTCATGTACTTTGACATGGCATCAGGAGGGACCACGCATGGTAAAGTATGGCCTACACCCCTAAACTTACATTGCCCTCTTTTCAGGGAAAAATAAAAATCCAGTGCTCCTATGGTGGCTTAAAAACGTTTGTACTGCAATCTGAAATCCAGAATAAAGCAAAAGAGCCCTACGGTACAGTGGGTTATGTGTTGGGCGGCTAACCACGAGGTCAGCGGTTGGAAACCAGGAGCTGCCCTGTGGGAGGAAAAGGAGGCTCTCTGCTCTCACGAAGAGTTACTGTCTCAGAAACCCACAGGGGCAGTTCTACCCTGGCCTACAGGATCCCCATGAGTGTCAGAATCCACTCGGAGGCAGGTTAACAAAAAAGCCCCAAATCCTCTACAAGAGTGGTTCTCAACCTTCTAATGCCGCAACCCTTTAATGCAGTTCCTCATGCTGTGGTAACCCCCAACCATAAAATTATTTTCCTTGGTCCTGCATCACTGTCATTTTGCTACTGTGATGAATCTCCATGGAAATATCTGATAGGCAGGATGTATTTTCACTGTTACAAATTGAACATAGTGAAAGCATCGCGATTCATCACAAAAACATGTAATTATATATTGTAAAATATTAATTTCTAATGACAAATAAATGAAAGTTTGTCTTGAAGCACGGTGTAGCATAGGTAACAGTCTTCAGGCCGGGGACTCGTAGGTGGCATATTTGCAGGTAGGCAGACTGGCCCAGAGACAGACAGAGGAGCGGTGTCTCGGTTCCTAAGACCATCGGTAATCATGTATGTTTTCTGATGGTCTTAGGCGACCCCTGTGAAAGGGTCTTTCGACCCCTAATGGGGTCTCGACCCACAGGTTGAGAACCGCTGCTCTAGGAGATGGCTTGCCACAGTGTCAATGGATTCGATGATTGTGAGGATGGCACCGGACCCAGCAAGGTTGTCGTCTATGTTCCCCATGGGTCGCTAGACGTTGGAACCTATTCAGTGTTGCCTAACAACCACATACTAGAAGGAATGTGGGCTAAACAGACTATAGAGAAGGAGCCCTGGGGCATAGTGGTTATGAGTTAGGCTGCTAACTGCAAGGTTAGCGGTTCGAACCCACCAGCCACTCTGAGAGAGAAAGACGAGGGTGTCCGCTCCCACACATAGGGGTGCTATGCGCTTGAATCGATTGATTCTATTGCAACGAGTTGGGTTCTTCCTCCAGATTTGTATTCCTACCACGCTCGGCCTGCATCCTATGCTCAGACTACATTTCCCAACATTCCTAAGGCCTCACGAACCTGAGGCCAGGGGTGGTAGAAGCCGCTATACCTTCTGGGAAATGTAGTCCAGCTGCGATTTGGGTGGGTGGGGGGTGTTAAGGTAAGGGGACCTACTGGAGGGACTGAAGGCTCCGTGGCGCCTCAGAGCCTGCGGGAGTTCACAGGTGAGTCCAACCACCTGCTGAGCAGACACGGAGCAGGTGCAGCAGGCAGAG